CCTTGCAGAACCTTGGGTGTCCTGTTGCTTGTCCTCGAGATGGTCCTTTTACAGCTCTTGATGGGTGTGTCATGCTTCGTCCACTCGGTGCCAGCCTTCAGATCATCCCCCGAAACATGTCGCTGACGCAAGGCAAATATGTTGTTCTTGACATTCAGGCTTCACATTTCTTTGCTTTGCAGCACATAGAAGGTTTTGCGATTAAAATGGATGGTGACGACAAGGTTGAAGTATCCATCGGCATGCTATCCTCTATGATGTTGAATCCACGGTACTATTTCTTCAAGGTTGTCCTGGGCATCCCTTCCTCTTCAACTTTGCTTCAGGTGCCGTATTCCATTTCTGGAGGAGCCTTAGCTCGGAAAGTGTATTCGACCCAACTCACCAAATGCCCTTGTGGACACCGTTCCTTTTCCAAAGGGCATGATGTGGCAGCTGTGGTGTACACCTTGGCAGGTCCATGTGAAACGACTGTACGCACCATGCGTTGCAATGCCTATGGGTGCCGCACAACTTTTGGACCTAACTTCCTGCTGGATGATGGAAAGAAGATCAACACAGCCACTTTGGAGAATGTCCCGGATGTTCTGTTTGTGAACAACAAGCTTGGCTTCTCCTTGGATTATTTGAAATATCATTCAGCCTTGGAATTTCGAGGCTTCTTGGCCGCTCGAGCCATAGAGGCTGCTTACAAATCAGTTTTTGACCATGAGCACAGTGAAGTTCGCTTCCGTGCAATGCACGCAGACTGTGTCATGTACTGGCTGGCTTTGCAGGAGCTCTCATTGATTGGGTGCGAGAAAGACATTGTCATTGGAGATGAAATCTCAGAGGCTGCGCTCCGCAAGTATGATGACTATGTGCACAAGGTTGCTTTCCCACCCAAAAAGAGGGCATCAGTGACTGAACTTGTCGGAGATGGTCACTCGAAGGTCCACATCAAATGTGGCGAAACTACCACACATGCAGGACGACCTCGGAAAGACGGTTCTTTGAAACCCTTTGGGCATGGATGGTTCATGCTAGTCAACCCGCAGGATCAACGAATTCTTTGTGTGGTTGCCATGGACAAGCCGGAGAACAACCCAGTGGTCCAGAAGTCGTTGGAGAAAGTCTTGCCTCTGTACCAGAAAGTCAATGGATTCATCATGGACCGTGTCTGTGGTTTCGCACCGACTCATGCAAGTAAGAAGTCCCTCTCCCAAATCAAATATTGGAGCCTTGACAAGTTCCACGCCCACAGGCACAAGAAGACTTGCGTGTACAATCCACTCTACGTCAAGCGTTTGTCTCGGCGATTTGCGAAGACAAATACGTCGGCTTGCGAACAAGTTTTCTCTTGGTTTCGCAATTATGCACGGATTTTGAATGAGGCACGTGCAATTCGCCACACTTTTAAGGTGCTGTACTTTTCCAAATTGCACAACCAAGCTGTGGCTGAAAACAAGGCCAGCTACTTGAACAAGTTCAAGAAAGCTGTGTCTAAGGTAAGCAAAGCATATGCTTGCTAGAACTAGATTTTGGAACAGAACTAGCGCGGAAAAATGAGATGTCTTAGCGCCAACTCCTTGCTTGCATTGTCTGCAGCAGATGATTTGACTGTGGTAGTATCCTTATGCATTCTTCCAAAAATCATCTTCTTTACTGTCATGCTGGCTCTGACAAAAGAAAGTAGAAACACATCTTGCAACTGCATCATCTGCTTCCAATCATCTGGAAATGCCTCACATCTGTACATTAACAAACAATAAGCTAGAAATCATTAAAAAACCTATGAATTAAAAACCCACCCCCCAGCGCAATCCGCTCTCTTTATCATTCTTTATCAATCCAATACAGGTGTGGATCATGCATGATGGACCTGCAAACTTTGTGTGTTTCATTCAGAACCATGCCCTTCTCAAGAACCTACACGTTTGATAGTTCATGCATCTCACGGAAAAATGACACCCTCTAGACTCCCACCACTTCTTGACCCCTTCATCCCCCGCCCGGGCTAGAAAGGAAGGAATCCGTTTGATCAGCTTCTGGTGGACCGAGCCTGGCCTTGCTTTTGCCATGCCTTTTGGGTCGCAGAAGAGTCGCGTTGGTCATGGTCTCTGGTTGCCAGGAACCATGGGAGTGACGAGGTGCGGAACCGCGTGATGCGCGAGGAAGGGCGGGAACCGCGTGATGGACGTCCGGGACAGGACGCGTGGGTTGGGTGATAGGGTGGTGGGTTGGGGATTGGGGCAGATTCATGTGGTTTTCAGTGGAAGAGCTGGGGCACTTGAGATTTTGGGGAGCAGTTTCCCAAATCCCACTGGCAGGGTAGCAGCTTGCCGGGCAGCCAGTTGGGCCAGCCTTTTGAAAGAATTGAAGTTGAAGTGACACCTCCCTCGAAGGGACACACTGAGCAATTTAGTTTTGGTGTTTCAACCCATAGATAGAATATGAGGTGAACTGAGGCAATATGATTCCAGGCAAAGATCACGTGGTATGGAATTTCTTGCTCGTCCTTCATCCTTTTTCAGTTATTCAGTTGGGGTGATGCCCATGTTGAGTTGGTCGATTCATGTAGATTTGCTCCCAAAGGAGCAATCAGATACTTGGTGGTGGGCAAGCATATTTGTGGGGAACTTATGTAGCCCAGACGAACCATACTTTTACCTGAAGTGGTCCGCTTTGGAACTGGTTCCGAACCCCTGACAAGTCATGTACAAAACCCCGAGGCAGGAGCTTTCGAGGCGCATGCACAGGGTGCCAAGAAAAACACATGAGCTCGTATAGGCTTGCCGCAAGAAGGGGGTGGTCGAGACCAACTGCGGCCTACATTTGATCAATTGCAGCTCTGGCGGAGATAGTTCTGTAACAATTTTGCTACCATGAGCTGAAGCATCCATTCTTGAGGGAACATGTCATTTTTGAAGGTACTTAGTAGGTAGTTGTTGTTTTTGCACACGACTAATCAAGATACACATAATGTAGGCCTCTGGGTCCGACACGGCTCCTTGGCACGCCTTACCAAGAGAAAACGGCAAACGGTTTGCTTTTTTCACTTGGTGCGTTTTTTTCATGATTGATGTGTGCGAGTTGTTGATTTCTAGTTCCCCCTAGGGAATGCAAAGCACGCTGGATCCGAAGATTCTTTCATGAACAAGCCCTTTTTTTTCTGCCACGATGCTGAAGTTGGAATCCCTGTTAGCACACAGGACCCGCTACACCTGGCCCGACCCTCTACACGACCCTCTTGCACTGATGCTGTGACCCAGCTCGAAGGTGTCTTTGGGCTCATCAGGAATGGTCAAGCAATTGTAGTTGGAAATTCACACGAAAACACACGCGCATCCACTCTTCAGCTCTCTATGGTCATTGCTCATTGGTCCAAGCTGGAACTCAACTGGAAGCAATTGATGAGATTCTCAAGCATTGACCGTTGGTGTTTGTTGTTTGAGTTTTCAATTGCTTCAAGATGAACCTCTCGTTTGAACTTCTGAAAGCTTCAGATCCCTACTAGTTGAACACAAGCCCACTCAGAGCATTTTGATCAGACCAATCGACAGATGGCTGATGTTTATAGTTTGGATGTTATGTCAACAACCCCCCTAGCAGCCCTAGCATTATGTCACTCCTGTTGATGCAATAAATTCAGGAGTACCTTCTAGCTTCAAGAGTGGTCTTTGTCCGAATCGTTTCTGCTGAAGCAGAGCGCAAGAAGACCCAGCTGATTGATACCTTCCATGGCTGACCAAACAGATCCAATCACCTGAATTCAACAACTCACATAGTTATAGTATAATATATCCCAGGTATACATATATATATATAATTATATAATCTCACAGACCTAGACCTAGAAGTCCTTTTCTCTTGAATCATGCGGCTGGTTTGTGATGCATTGCGCTGACCAACTCCTACACAGCACTTGACCGAGATCTAGACTATACCTTTCCTCACCCAAGATCAGAAGAGGGCAGTTCTCTCAGAGATCTAAGAGCATCCTTCCCCAAGAGAGCTGTGATTCCACAAGAATATGTGAACATCTACTCCTCCGGATCCTGTCGCACGTCCGCCGCCCGCGCCATGCTGCCGGACGTGCCCGCCATGCCACGGCTGGACGAGACGGTGCGGCTCGGATGCGCCCGTCACGACCCGTGCGTCGAGCTGGGGCCGAAAGAAGAGGTTCGCACAAAAATCACGAGGAGTCGATGGACCTTTGAATGATCATGTTTTTTTTTCTTTCATGTCTTTGTTCATTTCTTTGTGGATCATGTACCTGAAGTTGCTACGCAGCTTGGTCAGAACTGCTGTCAAAGGTCTCCAAGCCAACGGAACAGCGATTTGGAATCGACTTGCATTTCGCTTTCTCGTGCCCCCGCCGCAAGAGCAAAAACAGGAACGACGTGTTGCGACGTACACCGACTGGACCGACGAGCGAAGAACACGCACGAGATGTCGCACGCCCATCGCCACGTGTGGACCAATGATGGGTGTGGACCCCCCTTTGGGCTTGGTGAAAAAGCGATGGCATGTCTCAAGGGAGTTGGGCGCTCGCTTTCCCCAGTCGTTTTTTGGGATGTTACTTTTTTTGGCATGTGGAGGAGTGATTTGGTTTCAAGAAACCACAAAACACACAGCTCATAGCTCTGAGAAACCATGTATTCCGTTGGAGGATTTCTACATCATTGACCACCGTGGCTTGGTTTTACTTTCTTTGGACATCTTCATCTTTTTTAGGTGAAAAGAGGACTATATATAGATTAGGCACTCTCTAAGCCGCATGTGAATTGATTCCATGAGCTCTGACTCACAGACTCAAGCCTGGCAGCCTTCCACCGCACCCCTCCTACCCCTCACTTACTCCTCATGACCACTCCTGACCAAAAGCCTCTTCTACTGCTCCTACCCTTCACTTACCCCTCAATCCTGGCCCAAGCTTCCTGTATTCTGTGGGACTCCACCTGAGGAAGAGCACCGTCAACTCCATGGTGGACAGCGTCTCCCAGCTCGTCCACCAGACCGCCGCCCCGCCGCCGCCCTCGGCGCTGCTGGCGCCCCCGGCGCCGCCGAAGCCGCCACCGGCCGCCGAGGCGGTTCCATGCCCTTGCTCCGTTCGTAGCGTTCTTGTTCCTAGTAGCGAACCTTGCTCCTAGTACGGCCAGGAGCTAGTAGCGAAAATGGTTCCTAGTAGCGAGGCCCGAAATGCTCCTAGTAGCGTTCTTACACTTACTGCAGATGATCTGACGTTCTCTAACAACTTAACATAGATAGCTGAGTTAGCTATACGTGGCTAAGTGGTTAGCTAGGATCTCAAAAATCCATTCAAAGCTCCAGGGCGGTCGGCATTTTTTTGGGACTAGGAGGACTGGGAGGCTCGAAGAAAGATGTAGGTCCTGTAGGTATGGATCATGCATGAATGGTGCCGATGCCAGAAGCATAGATTCTCTTTTACATCCTTTTTCTATAATTCCTTGGTTGATCACTGGAAGCAAATTGGATCAACTTGGTATATGGTATACCTCACACGTCTCCCACCTCTCGTCCCCCAGACGTCCACATCTCCAGGCCTCGGGCTACTGGACCCGACCTCCGCCTCGCTTGTGTCCGCCGCCCGCCGCCAGCATCGCACGGCAAGCGAAGGAGGGCGCGGAGAAATTCGGGGCGCGGAGGGCTTCGTGTGGCATCTTTGATCCTGGGGTGGAAGGAATATAGGATATGTCATTTTGCACTTACAGTGGTTTCAGAGGGAGCAGAAGGCACGTTTCCCCCATGATGTCCTAGACAGATGGGGGTCCAGACAAACCACCGACATTGCGGTCTGTGCCATCTATTCTCAATCCACTATCATTGAGTTGATGCATCATTGTAGTCATTGTATAGCTTTCAGAAAGGTGACCGCGCCGCAAGAGCTGATTCAGCGCCGCAAGGAGATGATGACGGGATCTGACGGGCGGTTCTCAACGCTGTTTTTGCTTGGGCTGACATGTAATCATTGCGTTTTTGGTTTCCTCTTGATATCTTTTGATCGTAATTATGTATGATTTTTGGGGGAGTGGTTTCCCAATATCAACAGGGGGTTGAGGCTTCACCCAAGATTGACCGCGACCATTTGCCAGGAGGCAGAACTGTTATCTCCGCAGACATTGTCAGGGACCTCAGCTGGGTTGAGCTGTCTGACAGTCTGACGATCAACACACCATTGGAGGCACAGTTGTGGCATTGAAGCTTGAACATGTTTCGTTGGGAAGGAAGTATCGACATCCATCTACTCGATGAGGAGAGCGTTGCCATTGTGATACCATTTGGGAGCAAACCTCAAACACCCATACGACCCAGATTCGAATCAACATCAAGTGTAACGCTCCGTCCACACCTATAGGATGAAAAAACCAGTGACACAGACGCAAACAAACACTTCGAATATGGGGTGGTGTTGGAAGCTCAAATGGAGAAGTCTTGTATCTCCAAGCTCATCTTTCAAGGCTTTGAGGGTTCGACAGGTCCTTGACAGGTACAGGTGCTGCTTCTGGTCCTTGGGGATCTTGACCCAAGAGTCCAAGTAGATAGTAGATACAGAAGATACCCAAATAGTTATATAAATCGTCATATTACGTAAAACAGTATGTAAAACATATTCACCAACTTTCTCAGGTGCATCGTGAGATGTCTGTCATAAACATCTGTCCTTCCACGGCTGAACAGCTTCCTCCAGGTCCCCCTGGGTCCTACCCGCTGTGGAGAAAGTGGGTGCTCCCAGCGGCCCCATGGCGGAGCACGAAGCGCAGCTGCTGGGCAGGTTGCTCCAAGGCACGATGGCCTGGCCGGACCCGCGGAAGGAGCGGCGAGTTCGATCAAGACAGACCGACAGTTTCTGAAGGTCCGGTGCCTGTCTTGAAGGTCCGGGGCCTGGGAGGCCAAGGTGGTGGGAAGAACAAATTCAACCATTGCCACCCTAGATGAGACCTAAAGCTTGCATGATGTTTTTCCTTTAAAACACACACATTCTATAATATCCCAGACCATCCATGGAATATATATGCCTATAGATGGACCACTCCAATGTAGGTCATACATCGATTCCGAACAGAGAAGGCCGGAAGTTGGGGAAGGTTGGCCACCAGAACGTCATAGCAGCAGTGGATGGTTTCAGATACAGTTCTATGTTTTCAGCCTTTACATGGGATGATTAAACCATATTAAACCCACTGACTCATCTTTATTATTCAAGTGAGCTGAAGCCGCCAGTCAAGGAGGTGAGCCTTGGTTTGGCCATTTCCGGAAAATGGACCTAGGTCCGTTCTCCCATTACGATTGCATTCTGATGAGATGGCAAGGTGAAGTTGATGACGTCAAATGCCACCCAGGAAGAACACTCCCCTTAAGACCATCAGCAAGCCCCGAAAGGAGGTGATTCAGGATGTGTAATATCAATACGAGGATCTTCCGAGGAAACTCCTTTTTGCGTACTTCATTGCCATCGTCGTGGGGCTCCACAATCTTCTGTGCTGTGGCTCAGGGAGACTGGGAGTAGGGTGTGAGACGTTGTGAGTCCCTGTAGTGTTCGACCACGGTGGGCCTTGCGGTGGGAACGCCCGCTGTGGGTGTCCGTTTGGGGACAGCCATGTCCAGCCTTTTGTTGCGCTACCATATGTGCCATAGCTGCAAACGTCGGATGGTGGGGGGGGGTGCTCAAGATGATGAACCATAAGTTCATGGTCCACATGGACCAGCGCAAATCATGAGACAGTGCTGAGTTTCCATTACAGTGGTCAATGTCGGGAATGTGGGTGATTGTCAGTCGTATCGGGGGGCCGGTCACTGTGGAGCCTATTATGCTCCAGTCGTTCTTTTTGCGGGATGAACCATCCAAAGTTCTCGTTGAAGAACACCAGTGCGACGTTTCATCGCTTTTCCACCATGTCTTTTGACAGCATGGTCCCGTCCCCCCGAAATCTGCACATCCCCAAAGCCATCCAAAGCCTGTCAATTCGATTGCGAGGGACTTTGTGACGTTTGTTTGAGCTTTGATATGATATATTACGGAGACACACCGCTCCCATCCTTCAGAAGAGTCTTGCTCCTGCGACACCCATTTGGATCCCATTTTTGGCCAAGCTCCGCACCACTTTTTCTTCCACGTCGACCACTCGGGCGACATCTTGGCCGTTTTTCTCCCAGGACCTTCATCGATGTGGAGGAGCTTCCCTTGGAGGGTGAGACTCTACGACGCGCCATCAGCTGTCCTCCCCGAACAGAAGAAACCGCGCGCACAGCTTCTGGAGACGTGCTCAGTGGTGCCATTGAGGCTGCATGACCTGGGACCTCCCTGAAGTGGCCGTTTTTGGAGGGGTGCATTCGACAGTGCCACAGTGCCAAGTAAGTAGCCTTTTGACATCTATTGAAACCGCAGAAGGTATGAGAAATCACATTTCCATCACCACAAAATGCTTCGCGTTCAACTGCTGGTGATGGGCATTGCCTGACCAAATTGTGATAACATTACTATTACTGATGGATAGTGATTGATGATTGGTATTGGCTGGTAATTATAGTACATTAACTGGAGAAATTAGTGTTTGTGTGGTGGTTTGAATACTGAGGCCTGTCTCGTACCCAGAAATGCAACTACACAACAAATGCGGAAAGAAACTTGAGGTTGTCCCTGGTGCGCCCTTGAGAGACCAAGGGCTTCAAAACTTGAAAGTCTACCATCTACCCCACTAAATTCAGTGTGGACTCGATGAGCCTGTTTTCAACATTTTTAGATGTTTTGTGATGTCTGGTTGCCCAGTTCACCCCACAACGAGGCCCTCGTCTCGTTCTCCCGGTCGACTGCGGCAGGCGCTGGAGAACGAAGAGGTCTACCGCCTTCAGGTGGAACGGCTGGTTGCACGGGCAGAGGCCACCGTCCCGATGTCGGGCGGGATGGGGCGCCGGAAGGTGGAAACGCCATGGGTGGACGTCGACGTCGAATGCAATGGGTGTTGCATGGCTGTGGCACCTGGGCCGAGTCCTTGGCACCTGAGGTGAGTCTCATAGAAACTCAATTAAGGCTTGAATTGTGAGTGAGTGATGGATCTTCTTTGCATACTCCGCAGAAAACCAGACTGGGTCCGAAAAGGGTGCTGTTTTTGGGCTCTCTCGATAGGCGAGAGGTCCAATTGGTGTAAACATTTGAATGAGGGGAATGCTTGGATGTCACAGTTGAGCAAACAGGATACACTCTAGACTCTAACATGGACCCTGAGAATGGCACCCTGAAGACTGCTTTCCTCTATAAACCAGTAGTTTTCAGGGTCCATTTTGGTTTTCAGCGGGGTAGGATGTAGGTTTTCCTAGGGCCTTGAGCTTTGAGTGTATTCTCCCACTGGTCCCACTCAAAATGTGTTTGCCATTGTTTGGCAACACCCAGAAAGATCACTGGGGTTTCAAGAGGATTTGACCGTTCAATCCACAATTGTTCGAATGTACACGAGAACCTCTGGTGGCTCTGCAGGTCACGCGCCCTACACCCCTCGCCAGGTCTTGCCCAAGCACTCGCCCGACATGACGGCAGAGACGGCTGCGGAGACGGAAGAGGTGACGGCGGAGACGGACGAGGGAGAGGCAACGGAGGTGACGGAGATGGACACGGACGACGAGGCGCTGCCCTCGCTGGGCAGTTGGGGACACCCCGAGCTCTGCCGCAGGCGCGGACGGACGGGACACGGTGGGACTGGAGGTGAATGAGGTGAAGGTGAGTTGGGAAGTGTGCTGTGGATGCCGGGGAGAGGCATGCAGGCGAAAAGCATACGCATACTGGCATCCAGCCACTTGAATTACATGGGTGAAGTGAAGAGAAGAAGATCAATCTATGGGATTTTCCAAGTTCATTAGTTCATCCGCTAGTATCCCCAAATAACGCCTGCAGAAAAACACAGCTGTGAATGAGACCTATTCAGTGTATGGATCTTTCAGTTCTTAGCATCCTTCGCCAGGCCGTGTGTCTTTTGGGTAAAGCAACAGAGCTGCGCAGCTGGTGCCAACTGCAACTTCTGTCACCTGGAACATCAGAAGCTGGTTTGCTTGGACAAGAAGCAGCGCATCATCATGGCGGAGCCTTGACAAGAACGGAGAACCTGCAGTGTTTTAGCTAGCATGTTTCTTGTTTAAGTTTCGTATGCATTGCGACATCTGGCTTCACTCAATTGTTTGGATGTTGAGCTTTAGTCAACCTCTTCAATCCACCAGAGCTTGTCAGAATACACAGTAGGCCCACAGTCTCGTCGCCTGACCCACGACGCCAGCCGCAGCAAGCCTACGCAGGACCTCACCGACGCAGAGAAGAGCCTCTTGATCCTTCCCCACGTGCGGTTGAAGGCACCGCCCCGCGGCCCGCGGGCGCCGCGCGGAACCACCGAACGAACGACCTCGCGGACCCGCCGTTGGTGCTGGGGGTCGAAGAAGGGCTGAAGGAGGTGGTCGATTTGATCGGTGGGGAGTCAGGTGGTCTGACCAGGTCGAAAGGGATAGGATTTAGGAGATTGTTGGACATGTTTTCCCTAAACTAATGGACAACCAGTGCACCATGAAACCACAGACTCAACCACCGTTTTTCTTGTACAGTAGATCAGGTTGCAGGATTGGCGGCATTCTTCTAAATCCGTTGCCCACCTAGACAGTCGGAGTACGGCTTAGTCAAAAGCATATCCCTTTCGTTGTACTCAACCTTCTAGAATCTATATAGAACCATTTGATGCTGATTCACCAAAAGACCAGACTGAGACTTGTCTTGTCTTCATCTATGGAACCACACTCCTCTCTTGCACCTGGGTCAATGATGGGAGAGACTTTGATCCAATTTTGACACACCCTGTGCAGACTAGTCCCTCAGCAGGACCGACTGAGGCGCTTGTAGGCTTCGACTGAGGCTTAGAAGGCTGCTTAGAGCCCAAAAGAGACATCCTCTACGATAATTGACACGCTTCCACACGGTGGTGTGCTTTGGAGTTCCTTTAGCTCATCAACCGCCGTGGCTTCCCCTTTTAAAACATCCATGCTTCCAGGTCGAGGAAGGCCTTCCGGTCGAGTGCCTCGGCGACTACCACACAGAGGGACGGCACAGTGGATCGGAGGGACCGGACGGTGGCAGAACACCATGCTACAAGGTGGAAAGGCTGGTCCTCACACCATCTCACACCCCTTGTGGAGGAACATGTAACATGATGGAACATGGTTCCATCCCAGCACAGGCATCAATCATGTCGATTCCTTCCAAAGCCGCAAGTTCTGCTACTCTTTCGATCTTGTTTTCTTTGCGAGTGGATATATCTGATATATATATATATATATATTTATATTACATATTATATATATATATATTCATTTTGAACATGTTCAGCTCTTGTCATGTTTATCTGCTTGTCCTTGGTTCCGCCTTTTTGAAGAATCACGTCTGACCTGCTTGGAAGAACGGGACAAAAGGGATCCGATCCGACCCACCGACCCGATTGTCCGGTTCGGGCCGGTCGGATGGAGCGAAGATGCCCAGTAGGAGAGAGAGAGAGAGAGAGAGCAGGCTAGTTGCTTCCTAGCCTGGCCAGTAGTTGATGCATGTTCTGCCACCTGTGACTGGGCGCCCAGTACTTGAACTCCGCTTTTCACTCCGTACGTACTGAATAGATCACGAACATTACTGCAGGGCGTGCAATGTTCGTGCCGCCAAGGCATTTGCTTCATCTTCTCGAACGCGAAGCTCAAGCAGTTGCCGACACATCTCCCAATGCCAAAGACAAGGCAAACCTCAATAAGGCGCCATGCAGCCAACC